GGGAAGACTGTGATACACTTGTGTTCCTGTGGCGTTTTCGAACCTAAGCATTTGATAGCCGTATCCATGTAACTTTGACTTGGAAAATACAACCACGAAACTTGTCTAGTTGAGACCAGAGGACCATGTAAAAGTTTTGTGTTTTAGGCTGGATACTATTGGAGGGAGAATTACAACTTGAAACTGTTACCCGTTAACAATGACTCGTGTCTGAGAGAGCTAGATGGTACGGTTTCAAAATACTGTCAATCAGTCATCACATTACACTACTATTTGTATTCTTATGGAACAGGATATATTTAACATAAGAACATGAGACAGGTATGAATAAGTGAAGATGATGATGTGAATAGTCAGCCTAAGTCAAATTTAGTTCTTTCAGTTATTAAGTTCACAGGTACCAAGACATTTTAGGCGCATTTCTTCCAGAAAGATGCTGACATGATTTTAGAAAAATAGGTGTACAGAACAACATAGGGCTAAGCAGTAGTGAAACATTATTTTTGTCGCCGAAATACTCATCAGTGTAAAGCGCTATGAAACTGTGGAATCAGTTTGTCGTTAACTTGACGACGAAGGCATACTTATTCATAACTTTGTCTAAAAAATGCGATTTTAAAATCTGGCACACAAAATATTACAGTTTAAATATTGGATTAGAATATCTAGGGCAGACTATGCCAAACAAACATTATTATTATTATTATTATTATTATTATTATTATTATTATTATTATTATTATTATTATTATTATTAGTCCCTTGGGTTCCTAGTGGAACATAGGGCTTCAGTAGCACGTCTCCAGTGAACTCTGTTCTCTGAGATCTTTTGAACCTGGTTCCACGACAGCCCAGAAGCTCTCATTTCCTCCTCGCACGACCTCCTCCATGTCACCCTCGGACATCCAACTCGTCGCTTCCCATGGGGATTCCACTCGAGGGCCTGACGCGTGATGTCCTCAGTCGGCCTTCTCAGTGCATGGTCAATCCATCTCCACTTTCTCCTGCATATTTGTTGCGTGATAGGTTCTTGGTTGGTTCGTTCCCAGAGCTCCTTGTTGCTTATTCTTTCTGGCCATCTGATCTTCAGTAGCGAGCGTAAGCAGTTATTGATGAATGTCTGTAGTTTATTGGAAATGCCTTTCGTGTCGCGCCAAGTCTCTGAACTATACAGAAGCACTGACTTGACTGAAGTTGGTGTTGAAAATCCGGATCTTGTTCCACATGCTGAGTGCAGAAGATCTCCACACTGGTTTCAGGCTAATGAACGCCTGTCTTGCTTTTCCGATTCTGACTTTGACGTCCTCGTCCGTCCCACCTGTAGTTGAAACAGTGCTTCCTAGATAAGTGAAGGAGGTTACTTCCTTCAAGTTTCTCCCGTTGACGGTGATTGGAGTTTGTTGTTGTTGTTGATGGTGGTGGTGCGGTATCTTCATCACTTCTGTCTTCTCTATATTCACCTGAAGTCCCGTCTTAGCTGCCTCTTCTGTCAACTTGTTAGTTTTTGCCTGCAGATCTTCAAGTTTATGTGACATTAGGCATAAGTCATCGGCGAAATCCAAGTCTTCTAGGTTCTTTTCCGTCGTCCAGTGTATCCCCCTCTTCTCGCTGCCTACTGTTTGCTGCATGATCCAGTCCACCACAATCAAGAATATCATGGGGGATAGTAGGCAACCTTGTTTCACTCCTGTCTTCACTTGAAAGGCATCACTGAGCTTCCCATTGTGGATTACTTGGCATGTGGCATCTTCATATAGTTGTTGAATGAGGCGGATAAAGGTTTGCGGTACTCCGTAGTATTGAAGCAGTTTCCAAATTACTTCTCGGTCGACGCTGTCAAAGGCCTTCTCAAAGTCGATGAAGTTGAGGCAGAGAGCTGATTGCCATTCTATGCTCTGTTCTATGATGATGCGAAGTGTTGCAATTTGGTCTGCACATGATTTGTACTTCCTGAAGCCTGCCTGTTCCGGTCGTAGTTTTGAATCCAGTGCATCTTTAAGCCTCTCCAGGATGATGCGGCTTAATATTTTGCTTGCTTTGGGTGGACAGGAGAGTGATCCCGCGCCAGTTCTTGCAAGCACTGAGGTCTCCCTTCTTCGGCAGTTTGACAAGGTAACCCTTCTTCCAGTCACTAGCCAGGTACCTTCTCTTCCTTCCACACCTTCTGCAATAGTGGTGTGAGCATGTCCGCTGTTGTCTCTGCATCTGTTCTCAGTGCTTCTGGTGGGATTCCATCTGGTCCTGCTGCTTTCCCACATTTCAGTAGCTTTATGGCGTTCAGGACTTCCATTTTCGTTGGAGGATTTATGTTCACTTGTAATTCAGCGGCTGCAGGTGGTGTTTCTGGACGAAGTGCAGGTGGTGGTCGATTCAAGAGTTTTTTGAAATGGTCGGCCCATCGTTTCCTCTGTTTCTCTTCTTTTGTAATTAAATTTCCTTCTTCATCTTTTATTGGTTTCACCTGTGTTGATCTCTTCCCTGATAGTAACCTGGTTATTTGATATAATGTCGTCAGGTCTCTCTTACCTGCAGCCGGTTCTGCTTCACTTGCCAGTGTTTCGTAGAAGTGTCTTTTGTCTTTCCGTGCACTCTTCTTCACTTCTTTGTTCAGTGTTTTATACATTGTGCTCAGTTCCTCTTGTCGTTGAGCGTCCTTGCACTGGTTTATCTTCTGCTTCACCATCCTCCTCTCCTCTATCAGCTTCCATGCGTTCATCAAGATCCATTCCTTGTCTTCTTTCTTCTTAGTACGGCTGTGCAGGTTTCTTTCCACATAGCTTTCAAAGACTTCCAGTGTTCTTCCACACAGGTTTCTTCAGGGATGTTGCTGGATATCTCCCATTTTGTCTTGATGGCTGCCTTGAAGATCTCCTTTGTAGTTTCATCCTTCAGTTTCCGAGTGTTGTACTTGAACTGAGGTCTATCACCAGCTTCCTTGAAGGCTTTCAACTTGATTTGGAAGGTTCCTTGCACTAGACAGTGAGTGGTGTGAACCTACATCTGTTCCTCTTCTTGACCTTGTGTTAAGTAGACTGCGTCTCCATTTTCTTGAGATTGAGATAAAGTCGATTTGATTTTTATTGTGTCCTGGTGTCTGGTGAAATCCATGTCGCTAGCTTTGTTGATATCCTTGTGCTTGAACATAGTGTCTCTAATCACTAAATCGTTGAATGCACAGAATTCTGCAAACAATTCTCCATTCTCGTTGATCACCTCACCTAGCGCTTCTCGACCCATGGTTAGTTCTCTTCCTATTTCGTCCGCTCCCACATTGGCATTCGTGTCGCCCATTAGAATTTAGATGTTGCTAACTGAGGTCTTGTCCAGTGTTGATTGCAGTTGTCTGTAGAATTCCTCCTTTTTCTCTTGCTCTGCATTATTTGTAGGTGCATAGCATTGTATGACTGTGACCTTCCTTCCTTTTGAGTTGAATCCATCTTGCTGTCATGATCCTGGAGGAGATTGGTTCCCACTGCATGAGAGCCTTCGATGCTCTTGAGGACATCATGATAGCCACTCCCTCAGTGTGTCCGTGGTTATCGTCTGGGTGACCGGAGTAGATTATTGATTCTCCAGTTGACAGTTTGCAGAGTCCACTCCCATTCCATCTGCTTTCGCAAATTCCAAGCACATCAATGTGATACCTTCTCATCTCCTTTGCAATCTGGGCTGCCTTGCTGGGTTCAAACATGGTGCGGACATTCCATGTCCCCACGTTTACTTTCGCTTTCATCGAGGGAGAGAAGACACATCGGCCAATTGGCTTCCCGAAGGCTTTCACCAACTGGCGTCATTTCGCCTCTCCGATTCCAGCGGGTAATAAGTTTGTTTTCATTTTTTATATTTTGTTTGTGCTTTGAAGTTTCTTTAGCGGTTAGATTTGTTTTACGGGGTAGGGTTGCTAGCCCTATGCCCAACCTTCCCTCTTTACCCGGGCTTAGGACCGGCTAGTAACTAGTGAACTAGTTAACCAGGCGAGGTTGCCAAACAAACATATGAAATCTAAAAACATCTGTATTGTATACAGTGCACTTGCGAACTATCGAATTCAAAAGTACGAAAAAAAGCTTTATGTATCGCAACATTCGGATATTCGCACAAACAAAGTAATTACTGGGAAACAAGCTTGCATAGATAAGTACTCATAAGTCGCTCCACGGATTCTATTGCATTTGATTTGGTACTAGTTCATGCAACATATTTGTATCAACTAATAACTGTTCTTTTGTACCACGCTACGTTGCCGGTAGGCAAAACGTTCGTAGAAAGCGAACTTACCTGTCATGCTAATGCATTTGAGCTTCATTGAAGTCATATCATAACAGTAGATGCATTTAAAGAGTGATAACACAAAAGCAGTTGGTTTTTAACATATTCAGTCTGTACTACCAGCTACACATTGGTTTGGTAGCAGTGATATGCCTGCAAAAAATAACCGACAGATCCTGTCTCTCCATTACTAGGTGGTGCTGACATAAGTTCTGCTGACAGCAGCCACCTCTTCACTAATTTTACACTGAAATGAACACATTTTGCTCGGTCAAATGTATAAACGGCCGGAAATGCATATCTTGCAAACCTTGTGGCTATATTTGCTAGTTCGTAGGGCCGCAAAAACTAGCTCCATTTTTTTCTCGAAACCTCTAGGATAATAATGTAGCAAGGAAGAGTCCATTGCACATATATCTGCTGGTTCTCAGTTATCTCTAGGTTAGGTTGAGAAGTTACTAAAAAGGGGTGCATTCACAAACTACTTCATGACAATAATGCACCTACATCACATAAGCCTTCGAAATTCTTAGTTGAATTCGAATCACTTACATGAAATCTTCTTAGACCAACATAAATACATCTAGTTAGGGGCAAATAGATTCAATGATCCATGATAATACACTGTCAAAGCAACTTATGTAAGATGAATTTTGAAATTATAACCTATGATCCAATATGAATTTATCTGTAGTAGAATTTTACCAACAATATTTGTTGAATTTACTCACTAGGAATTTGCAGTAGTCATCAGAAAACTGCAAAAACTTTCCAGCAGGAAGAAATCTTGTGCCGCTGGATGCACGTTCTTTGCTAACCAGCTTTTCAAAAAGGTTATAGCTTTTTGTGATTGCCTCTTGATGTGTTTTCAGCTCTTCCGATACCGCCTACACCATTTTAGCCAGAATAAGACGTGAAGCAAAATTCATACTTTCTGCGTGTCCAGCCTTTCTTCGTATTCTTTCTTCTGTTGCTCAACGTGATTTCTGAACTCCTCATATTGTGTTTGGAGGATAAGACATTTCTGCTCGAAACTAAGTGTGATAAGCCTATCCAATGCAGAACTCCTGCTCTTGGAACGCTTCCTAACAAGTGATGCTCTTCGACTGGCAGATGGTGGAGGCTTTCTAGTGAATTTTTATTGTAAGAAATTAAAGAATATAGTTCACAAACTCAATTTCGATATTTAATTTTCCCAAAAAGCTTTTATAACATTCATTTTCCAGAATTTCCTTAGATGTATTAGTCCTTGATTGTGGTCAGCACAAATAAGTATGGGTTTTACTTTATGTCAGAAATAGATTTCTGGAGTTCCTCGCATGATAAGTTTGAAATCGAGTCATCTCCACAGTTGAATGAGCTCAACATCATCGAGGCTATAGTAACGACATTGATTTGAACAATTAAAACAGAATTACTTCAGTAGGAAGGTAAGGAGGCTGTTTCACCTGCTGTAATCTTTCAATCAACTGCTTTCTACCGTCTGAACTTATTTTGATAGACATTTTTGAAGGATTTAATACCAATCAGTTCAAGCAACTTCAATAATGCGAGTAAAGGAAACTTGTAGTTTTTAAGCTCAGTTCTTTTAGTCTGGTCTTACTTCTTTGGGAGTAACGAGAGCCTCCAGGCTTTCCATGCTTTTAACACTGAAGGTATTGACCGTCTACTTAAAGGCATTTTTGCCATGTGTAGCTTGGGTTGTTTGGGGCGACGGAGCTCCTGATAAGGTCACTTATCCACTTACGATTCCTGTTTTTCTAAACACCTGCAGGTGAGTATTAGGCTTTGCCTTAAAAATGATATGAATAGCGTAAGCGGGGGACCAGAAAAACAGGAATGGAAAGTACTTATGGAAAAATAAGTGTTACTGGCAGAAAAATGGAGAAAGGGTCCATGTTAGTTAGGAAACAAGGGGTAAGGAATACAAAAGGATAAGCATATCTTCAAATGCCACGGACGAGTGCTCATGGTAAGCCACTTGCTCTCACTCACCTATTCTGTAGTCGTTTGAATGAGTCGACCGATGTAGCCCTGGCTACCTCCGTCTACAGACCGTTCTATAAGGCACGCACTGTATGAGAAGAGGTTTGTTCTCACTTTCGTCCGTGCCCACGGTGGGGGTACGAGTGGTTCCCGCGACAGCGTTTGTTTTGGCCCGATAAAGCTGATCTATTTGTAGGTTGTCATTAGATGACCTCTCTTCCCTCGACACCTAAATGTGAACAAGTTGATTTTTCTGAATCGTTGTGTATGTTTTGCTTGTTAGTCCAAAAACTGGCCTTGTTGCCTTTCTCTGTACCTTTTCGAGAGTATTCACGTCTCTTTCGACGAAGGCGGGGCTATCGTGCTTAGCACTTCTAGGCGTGGTCCAACATAGGCTTTAAATACCATGAGGGATAATTCTGAGACTAACGCTCCAAACTGCTTTTTTAGGAAGTGCACTATGGCGTTCACCTCTGCTGCCATTCCCCTTATCATTGGGACTAGTATCCAGTGCATCGGAGAAGTTTGGCCGTAGTCCTTCCCTGAGGATACTCTGGTAATTACACACTTATTGAAGGTGTGGTTGGTTTGCATTGCTACTGGTGTACGAAGTTACACCACGTTACATTTCTCGAGGCTGAAGCTAAAACCATGCGAACTGGCCCGGACTCCAGCTGCATCAAATCGTCTTGAAGTATTCTGGGCTCTTCTTCCTTACTGTATTTCATATCTTGATTCCCTTGGCAAATAGGAGGATGGACGTAGAGATTCTGTTGGGGAGGTGGTTGATGAGTAGTAAAAGCAGGGGTGGACCAATGATGGGCCTTTAAGAAGCTTTTCTTGCACTCCTCAAGTCTGGTCGAATTCCATTTACTTTAACATAGAATTCTCTGTCCTTTAGATATGCTGCGAACCATGATGAGGATGGTCCAGTGATACACACTTCTGTGAGTTTAGGGAGCATGTTTTAGCGTTGGAGGCTATCGAAAGCTTTGACCAAGCCATAAAGGTAACGTGGACCGGTTGCTTGTCCCATCTGGTGGTCTAGTCATTATGAGCGGCCATCAAGTTTGTGGCGCATGAACACCTGGTCCTGAAGCCGTGTTAGACGGGATGAACGTTGCTGTTTCAGTTTAAGTAGTGACAAACAACATCTGCAACCAGGCTTTCCAGTACCTTGTATACAATGGGAAGTAACGCCACTGGCCTTTGATTTCACGGGTTTTTTCTGTCCTCCCCTTGGCTTGCTTCAAACGAGTGCGCAAGCAGATTGGATTTGGGTATGCTCGGTAGTTTGGTGCAGTTCCATAGGACCCCCAATCTTGTGTCGTCGCAGCCCGGCGATTTTTCCTTTTTCACTGTTGAGAGAGAACTATCTGACAAAAGCTTTGCGCCTATCACCCTTGGATAGCATTCGTGGAACTGAGTTAGACTACTGGATGTTGGTAGTGGATGCATCATTGTGTTGAGCTACCTGTCAAATCGGCCGACGAACAGCTCCGTTCTTTCGCTGTTATTCAAAAGGTCCTTCGGTCGGTCCCGTGATGAGGTTATAACCCTTATTTATCGGTTTTCGTTGTGGTGCAAATCAACACAGGCTTTTCGGATTGTAGCCTAACCGTTTGCCTAGATTTCTCTGATATTTGTGCGTACCATTAAGAACACTTATATCACGAAAGTTGCACAAATTTATGCGGCTAATTAGGTCTATCTCCTTGTGATGTGTCCACTGATATCACGCCTCCTTTTTCCTCTGTACTTGTCTTCGAGTTGATAGAGCCACCCAAGACTGCTTGAGAGGTGGTTGTCCGGTCACCTTTGGGATAATCTTTTCGACATCTCCCCAGGCAATATCTTTAGTACGGATCCAGCGTTCGTCTGTTGATGATGAGTGCTGTTCTTGTGGCAATGGAACCACCATGATTTTACTGTTCAAGAGGCGGTAGTCGGGCTTTTGGTAGCGGCGGAAAACCTCTCCAGGACGTGCTCGCTCTCGCCAACGAGGGCGGACACAGATATTGTCCGAAAAAAGACCATAGCCTGTTGGAATGTAGTCAAGGGGTTATCAGTTTCCATCTGATCACCTTCTGGTGCTTTCCCCAACTTTCTCTATTAATCGTGCTGTGATAAACGTGTTTCAAAGCAGATGTTTAAAAGATTTATTTCCAAAACCTACTTCAACTCCTGGGTTGAGTGCTGCTGTGTTGGTCTCCCGCGTGATATACATGGATATCGAAATGTAGGCCAGTAAGTGTGCTTTGTGGCCTGTTGTGCACAGATGAGGCCCATATACTACCCATCGTAGGAACACCGTTCGGTTTACGGTTAAGCGGCACCATTAGGAGTTTGGTAATTGACTAAACGCACTGTCGGTCACCTCCTTGACTTTTAGGCGCTCCTGGTGAACATAGCCCCTCCTCCGCCTCACTTGAACTGCCGGTCCTTTTTGAGTGAGGTTATGTTGGGCAAAGGTGTATCTTGGTCTTTGGTGTCTAATGACGACCATGTCTTTGTAACGGAAATTATATCCGAATGCAGATTGTACCAAATTGTCCTGGGCCCCGGTGGTTTGCTTCTATAACCTCTTACACCGCTGTAGAAGTATTGGAAGAGGCCAAGTTCTGTGCTTAGAGCTTGTGTGGAGGCTGATGAGTTGTTGCATAGGATCCTGACTGCCGACCCCTACCGGACTGGCAAGCCTTCTCTTCATCCTGATGTTAGTGTGTGTTCATTCTTATGAGTGCAAACACTAGTTCGCTAGGTAGTTCTCTTGCGACCAGTACTACCTGTAGTGTTCTCGTAGGTTGCATTCTATCTTGCTGTCTGGTGGACAGTAGTTTACCCCCACAAAATCGCACATCACATCCTATTTGACCTTTTACATGGCACCATGCTGCAGGGGCCTCTGTGAGTGATGCCTCAGAGTCGGAGCGTATAGCTAGCAACCTTGATGGGGAGATGCTTTGCAGGTGAGTAGGCCTTGGCAATCTGCCAGCACCGATTGCAGACAAGTTTTACAGTCTCATTTTTGCCGCTGGCTACCTCCTCTGCTCGATGTCATAGAGGTAATGACCACATTTCGTGGATCCATCCGGCAGTTCGAATATTCCGTGCACCATCATGGCCGCAGCTTCGTGCAGATCACTAAGGGCGGACCTTCCGTCCGCCATTCTGGTGGCCTACGGTTTATCTGGCTCCACCCTTGTGACGCAAAAGCCTACTATGTCTGGTTGGTTTGAAAGCAACAGTACGTCCTCCGACCATTTCGCCATCGCGAGTGATGCCCCAAAAGGTAGCAGCTTATCTTGAGGTGCTATACTTCCTCGTGAGAGCCGAGATAAACTGGTTTCAGTGGGCACTATCCCTGGCTTCTTGCAGTAGTCATTCCATTTCTCCCTGTCAAACCACTCTCTTTATTCTGAGAGCGAGTCATCTGGTGTGGGGACGGTGAACAAAATGATGGAGTCCCTTCCCTTGTCCCTTGAGTCTGAATTTGGTAGTCAGTGCTTTTGGCCTTCCCTTTCGCCTATTCATGACAAAACCCGTTTTTTCAGGTCGTTAAGTGCCACTGAATCCCCTTGATTGCATCGATACAAGTGACGACCTCGTTGGTACCTCACGTGGGAGGGGTCACTGTAGTTTCTATGCGTAGCGATGACATATTTGCATGCTAAGGAACTTGTCCAGTTTCTGTGGGTAGAATTCTGGGCCCGTGTCTAGCAATATCTTGGGCTGTACCAGGTTTTTCAGTCTGCTGATAGTGATAGCAGGTAACTTCCGATATTTTGGACATGGGTGTCGTATCCGCTTGAGCGGGTACCTCCTTATAAAGCTGTGGCACCGGGCTGGTATACCATTATCATAGTTACAGTGCACTGTTTCTGGACGAATGTCGCACTCGAGGGCTTCTTCAGCCTCCGGCACTGAGCCATCACAAACACTACAGTCATCAAAGGTTTGCCCTTTTTGACGACCAAGTGGTTTGCCTCCTGCGAATTGAGGTCAACCATAACGTGCGTTACAATACCCACTCGTTATATGCGTGTTCTCCCTGTCTCTTACTTTTCATCAACGAGATCTTTGGAGACACTGGCTCCTGTCCATTCGCCGACCCCTTTGTGGGCTTACAGCTTGTAACCTAGTTTTCTGCACCATTGCAGCCAAGTGGTGCAAGAATGTGAACAAAATAAAGGACAAGGAAAGGAGAGCGTAGAGTGGATAGTTTACCTCCAGGAACTTGATACTCAGCCTTTCTGACTTTACCAGGAAACTTAAGCGAATACTCTGAGAGAATGTATAGACCAAGAAAGGTGTCTCTTGGTGAATGATTCCCGAAAAGAGCAGAAAACTACAACAGTTGAACGGTTCAAACGACAACGAATCACCTGCAGGAAGTTCTTCCGGGTTGAGAAGGTGGTTTCATCGTTGTTTGTGGCAACTATCGCATCCAGTTGGTCCACTGAATTGTGTTCACTGCCATGGTACGGTTGACAGCTGTTTTTCGGTGATGAACACCGTAGTGCTGCCTTTAGATTGGAGGTGAACTAGGCGCGACGATATTTAAACCGCACTCCCAGTTCCAGTCATTCCGACGTCTGAAGTCAGTGGTGCGAGTGTAAGAAGCTGGTTGCTCTTGGCCTCTCGCATGTATTTCTTGGGGCTCGGTCTCGTTTTGTTTGCTCGCGAGGTGTGCCACGAGCTTGCCTGCCTTCAACTTCGGAAAGATGAATGTTCCTCTGGGTTGGTAATCGTAATTTGTAGATTCAGATGGCTAGGAGGTTGTGTTGCTTAGTATGTGACTGATTAGGAATAGCAGGATAACGTGAAAAGGTGTGCTGGACTTACCTGACAGGTAAAAGCAGATAGTGCGGGTCTAGTTGCCGGAGTACAGCAATCAGATACTGTGAGTGTATCAACAAGAGAGATAGTGATAAGTACAACGGAAGAAAGTAGTGGTGGGTTAGTGAGATCAATAATGCCCTGAGTACATCTGTGGTGGGCTACACAATACAACTTAACTACCTTACCGTCTTTTTAATGAGTTCACTGAGGACCACATACCTCTGCAGAACGTTTCAAAAAGCGCGTACCGTCAGAGACAAAAAGGTCAGATATGGGCCTGGTGCTAGCTCTCCAAAGTGCCATCCTGATCGAGCTCCCTCGCGATGACCGTCAAATGGAAGGCAAAGGTAGTGTGTAAGCATGAGCTGCATGATGGGTGATCTTGTAAGCCAAAGTCAAGTCACATTTTTCCTCGAAAACTCGAAGTGAACAGGTTTAAGGAATTCAGTCTGTCACAGTATGTCTGGCTCCTTAAGTTCAGAGCCGGGTTTGATGCAGATCCTTGTATTTTCCCATAGAGATTGGATTCTCTCATGAATGGCTTCCAGGTGCAGCTGGATGTAGCATTCGAAAACCAGGAGAGGTAGTTTAGTAACGAGGGCACCAGGCTGCCTGCGCGGAAATTGTAATGCGTCGTTCGCTCTTGCTGTCATTCCCCTGTAGTTAGAGATAGTGACCATGGTGTCCTAGAAGTTTAGCCTTAAATCTTTTTCTGTGGATGCTTCGGTGATACCAAAGGTGCTCAACTTGTATTGGAATTTGGCTCTCCTTGCTTCGTAGGTGCTGATGGAAAATAATTTGCACTTTTCCAGGTTGGAGTTCAAGCTGTTTTACAACCATCCGAGTTCTAGTAGCCGCACATAGTTTTAGGGTCCTATGAAACCGGCCCCTTCGTCCACTACCCCCCAGGTCTACGTGTCATCAGCTAAGAGAAGGATGGGCTGGGTGGTTTTGTGTTGCAGACCTTTGAGGAACTGGAGTAATAGAAATGGCCCTGGACCTAACACTCGGGATACCTCTGGCGTCCACGATTGCCACTCCGACAGTATTTTGTTCCTAGCTGCCTGCCTTTCGAGTACGCTTGGAATTAAAGGAGCAGGGGTTCTCATACTTCGGGTGGCGCGACCGTGCAAAGCAGGATTGCGTACGGGGCACCATCAAATGTCTTAGCTAGGTAGAGGAAATCGACAAATGTGCAGTTTAGTCTTCCCGGTCAGTCATTAAGTTGATTGTTCATGAACGACCACTAAGAAACCTATGTTGAGCGGTAAGGATAACTTTATACCTGTTTGAAGATTCCTAGGTCATGTCGGCCGTCAGGATTTCTAATGATTTGGACGGCACATGGATTGGGGCGATCGGTCCCTAGCTGCAAGCACTTTTTCCATCTCATCTCTTGAAAACAGGTGACAAGACCACGTACCCCCATTCTTGGGAAGTCTGCAAGACTCTAGTTAGTATTTAAGGAGGTTTCAGACCAGCCTCCCAAATACCTGGGTGCAAGTCTTTAGGATTAATGGTCTCATATGGTCGCAGCCAGGTGACTTGCCTGGACGGGGTCTGGATAATTTTTCGATACATTTTTCTGTGTGGTGAGAATGTGGTGAAACTATTCGTTACCTACGGCTTGATCGTTGTGGCGTCGTACCGATACAGATTTAGCGTTAGAAGTACTGAGTTTCTTTTACTGCCCTTACAACTAACATTTAGAACTGGCAGCTCAAAGATTAATTCTCAAGGTTGTTCTTACGAAATAACTTCTAGTCTCACTCCCTGATGCAAAGTTGGTTGTGTCGTAATTTTCCCATGATTTTATGTGTTTCCGTAGCTTTTATAACTGCTGTAGATGTATTCCTTTGTGAATTTCTCTGTCAAGGGTTCTAAACTGTGATCTGTAGATATGTGAGAAATGTTTCGTGACTGCTTGTTAGCTGAGTACTAGCTTTGACACGGAGTTTTATGTCTCTAGGCAGCTTCTTATGAAGGTATGTATCTAATATCATGTATATTTGTATCAAATGTGATGCTAAGTCGACTAAAATATTCACCAAAAACATTGTAACTGTTGTAGACTTTTAAATTTTTCACTCATTTTTGTGCTCTGGTGATAATTACATAGGGTTTTATTGATCTCATCGTTGGTGCGCCACCTTAAATTTTTGTGTTTACTTCATTGACTTGGGTATACCGAAGTCAAAGTGACATATATGTCACTTTCAGCTAATAGTTTATCTGTCTGGGTATTATTATATATTATTTGTCCCTTGGGTTCCCAGTGGAATATAGAGTAACGATTCGCTTATTGCAAATTGTGAGAATGTCGTTTGTTTTATAACGAATGTGTTCAGTAACCAGTAAAGCAGTTACTTTTGCTACCTGGAACCATATGGTTTACGTGTTTATGCATGCACGCTTAAATTATTCCGCAAGGGCGTAAATTATGCAGGTAGTCCGTAAAACACATCTGAAGTGTCGCACTACAGCATTATTTCAGCATTCCTGATCAAAGCCTTGACCTACAATATTTCCTCATTCGCACGCAGCATTTCACCATACCTGTTTAACTGGGATACTACGTAGTTTGACTGGCGAATGTGTAAATTATATTCATCCCAGCTAAATGCAGTTAATACGAGGTCGGTATACTATTATAATGTTTTCCCCTTGGGTTCCTAGCGGAATATAGGGCCTCACTAGCACGTCTCTATTCCACTCTGTTCTCCGCAATTTTTGAACCTGGCTCCACGACCGCCCACAAGCTCTCATTTCTTCCTCACACCATCTCCTCCATGTCACCCTCGCCACGGACGCCCAACTCGTCGTTTCCCCTTTGGACTCCACTCTAGGACTTGGCTTTGCCTGGCGCGTGCTGTCCCCAGTCGGCCTTCTCAGTGTATGCCCAATTCATCTCCACTTCCTTCTGCATATTTGTTGAGTGATAGGTTCTTGGTTGGTTCGTTGGTAGGCCAGAGTTCCTTGTTGCTTATTCTTTCTGGCCATCTGATCTGATCTTCACTATTGAGTGACCGTAGGTGACAGCTATTGATGAATGTCTGTAGTTTGTTGGAAATGCCTTTCGTAACGCGCCAAGTCTCTCAAACATCACAAGGAAGCACTGACTTGACGTTGGTGTTGAAAATCCAGATCTTGTTCCACATGCTGAGTGCAGATCTCCACAATGGTTTCAGGTTAATGAACGCCTGTCTTGCTTTTCTTTTCCTATCCTGGCTTTGACGTCCTCGACTGTGCCACCTGTAGTTGAAACAGTGCTGCCTAGGTAGGTGTAAGAGGCTACTTCCTTTGGGTTTCTCCCGTTAATGGTGATTGGTGCTTGTTGTCGATGCTGTTATTGGTTGCGTATCTTCATCACCTGTTTTATCTACCTTCACTTGAAGTCCCCTCTTCGCTGCCTAGCCTCTTGTGCCAACTTGTCGGTTTTCGCTTGTAGATCATCGAGTTTGTGTGACAAGACATTAGACGTAAATCATCATCATCGGCGGCGAAATCCAAATCTTCTTCTGTGGTCTTTTCATCGGTCCAGCCACCGTATGCTGGTCTTCTTGCTCCTCACGGTTTGCTGCATGATCCAGTGCAGTCGATCATAATCAGGAAGATGATTGGTGATAGTAGGTGGTAACCTTGTCTTACTCCTGTCTTCACTTCAAAGGCGTCACTGAGCTTTCCATTGTGAATCACTTGTCATATGGCATCACATGGCATATAGCTGTTGAATGAGGTTGATGAGGGTTTGTGACACTGAAACCGTAGTGTTGAAGCAGCTGCCTGCCAAATAAATTGTTGGTCGACGCTGTTGAAGGCCTTTTGAAAATCGATGAAGTTGAGGTAGAGTTGAGTTGACTGTCATTCTATACTCTGTCGTATGATGATGATGCGTAGCTCAGGGTAGCGTTGCAATTTGCTCGGGACATGATTTGTTCTTTCTGAAGCCAGCCAGCCAGCTGGCCGGCCTGTTCCGGTTGTAATTTTGAATCCAGAGCCCTCTTTAATCTCTTCAGGATGATGCGGCTTAATATTTTGCTTGCTTTGGGTGGACAGCAGCATGATTCCGCGTCAGTTCTTGCAAAGACTTAGCTTAGGTTGCCCTGCTTTGGGAGTTTGACAAGATAGCACTTCCTCAAACCGATTGGCAGGTACCTTTCCTTGCTTCCAAACCTTCTGCAGCAGTGGTGTAAGCATGTCCGCTGCTGTTATCTCTGCATCTGTTTTCAGTGCTTCTGGCGGGATTCCATCTGGTCCTGCTGTTTTGCCGGATTTCAGTAGCTTTATGGCGTTCAGGGCTTCTACTTTTGTTGGAGGATTTGTGTTCACTGGTAATTCTGTGGCTGGGCTGCAGGTGGTGGTCGATTCCAGAGCTTTCTGAAGTGGTCAGCTCATTGTTTCCTTTGTTTCTCCTCTTTGGTAGCAAGGTTTCCTTCACTATCTCTCATTGGTTTCATCTACGTTGATGTCTCCCCTACTAGGTAGTAACCTGTTTATTTGATACAATATCGGGTCTCCTCTACCTGCAGCCTGTTCTGCTTCACTTGCCAATGTCATGGAAGTGTCTTCTGTCTTTCCGCGCACTCTTCTTCACTTCTTTGTCCGTTGTTTTATACGTTGTACTCAGTTTCTCTGCTTGTCGTTCATCCTCGCACTGGTTTATCTTCTGCTTCACCATCTTCCTCTCCCTGCTCTATCAGCTTCCATGTGTCCGTGGCGATCCATTCCTTATCTTCTTTCTTCTTCCTTCCTAATACTGCTGTGCAGGTCTCTTTCCACATCACTTTCAAAGAGTTCCAGTGTTCTTCCATGCCCTATCCTTCAGGGATGTTGCTCAATGTCTCCCATTTTGTCCTGATTACTGGCTGACTTGAAGATGTCCTTTGTAGTTTCATCCTTCAGTTCAGTTTCTGTTCTGTGTGTTGAACGTGGTGTGGTCTATCACCAACTTCTTTGGAGGCTTCCAACTTGATTTTGAAGGTTCGTTGCACTGGATAGATAGTGAGTGGTGTGAACCTACATCTACTCCCCTTCTTGATGTGATCTTGTATCCAGTAGGCTGCGTCTCCACTCTCCTCACATTGAGATGAAGTCGATCTGGTGAAGTCCATGTCGCTGCCTTATGAATATTCTTGTGTTTGTACACAGTGTCTCCAATCACCGAATCGTTGAATGTGAAAAAGTTTGCAAACTGTTCTCCATTCTCATTCATCATTTCACCGAGTGCTTCTCTACCCATGATGAGTTCTCTTCCTGTGTTGTCCACTCCCAGTTTGACACTCGAGTCGCCCCACCTATTGGAAATTTGAAGTTGCCAACTGGAGTCTTGTACAGTGTTGGTTGCAGTTGTCTGTAGAATTCCTCCTTCTTCTCTTGATCTGCATTATTTGTAGGTGGGTAGCGTAGCATTGTATGCTTGTGACTTTCCTTCCTTCTGAGTTGAATCTTGCTGTCATGATGCTGATCCTGCAGGAGGAGAATGGTTGCCACTGCATGAGAGAGAGAGATAGTCTTTGATGCTGTTTGGAGTGGGACATCATGATATCCACTCGAAAACTCAGTGTGCTCGTGGTTGTCGTCTGGGTGACTATATCGGAGTAGATTATTGACTCTCCAGTTGACAGTTTGGAGAGTCCACTTGCATTCCATGTGCATATATCCCTTGCAGATTCCTTTCACTTCAATGCTATGCCTTCTCATCTTTTTTGCAATCTGGGTAGCCTTGGTAGTTTCATACATAGTGTGGACATTCCATGTCTCGAAATTTTTTTGGTATTAGGGTTGCTCGCCTTTCATCCAACCTTCCTCTTCACCCGGGCTTTGGACCTGCTAGTAACTAGTGAACTAGTTAACTGGGTGAGGTTATCACTAGGTAACAATGGACAATTGTTTTTACTCACTTGAAAACTTGGGAACGAGCAAAACACACTCAGCCACCTTGGGCATATTCGTGCTGTAGGAAATGGGCCGCATGGATTGTATAAGGTCTATTGTTACTTTCTTGCTGCCCACTCCTCAGTTGGTTAAGCGATACTTGAACGCGTGACCCATCAGTTGACTCATTTCCTCAAACCACTTAGCCATAGCTTCACAAGGAAACTGGGACGATAGGTTGAGTGGTTGGTGATCCAATATTCCGTTAACTGATGGCCAGTCGGATGATGAATGGAGCATCATCGTGGTCCCCCATCACTGACAGCAGTCTTATGATCCATGGATAGTCTAAGACGAGGAAGAGCAGCAGGGCCTGGCGGACTAGTGTCGGATGGTGTTTGTTGAGGATCATTGGTGGAATTAACTGAACTGTCAACTAGTTTATGGAAGTTAGATATAATCCCCTCTGACTGGTGTCATCACTGATTGTCTCAATCTTGAAGAAAGTTGATAACCACTGGGGAATCAGTCTAGTGAACATAGGATTTCCGATTTTAGGTTTCATAATTTTCAGACGTCTGAGTGGTGTTCATAACGAGCAAATCCAATAAAACTAGGCAGGCTTCAAACTTGGTCCTGGGTATCTCGTTTAGATATTGAAACTCTTCCAGGTTCTGAAGCAGGTAGACATACGGACACTAGCTGCATTTCTCGACTTGTAGGCAGCTTAGATTTCGTCGGTCGATATGTCTTATGTCAATGCCTCCCTCTGAAGGGAGTGTCAGGTGTGTACATTACCCTGTTAAAAACTATGTATTCAAACACCTGTTGGTGTGTAACACCCAGTGGTGTGTACATCTAGTCGTGTCTGCCAAGGATGGTCACTCCAACCATTCATATTCAACTTTATCATATACGTACTTATAAATGTCTTCCTCTTGTCGTCTGACTTTGCAGGTGTTGATCTCATTACAGGAAACTTTAGTTGATTTACGCGGATAATATAGTCTTTTTAAATGCAAATGCTGACACTTTGAGAATGTTTGAAATGCGTTTCGTACCACCCAAATGCAAATTGTTGCTCCAAAACTTCTCCTGTGCCGCATCTAACAGTACGGACTGAAATGGTTGGGCACATTGACCACTTCACTCTCCTGGGAAGTCGGATCAGCACTGGTGGGTCCGTGACCGACTAAATCTCCACACAGGTACGTGGATACAAAAGGCTTGACTGCCTTTCGCCAACTTACGCCATTTGTTGCACCGTTGGGATATTTAATTGTCTGTCAGTGCTTTATTTTACTGTGCTGAAGTTCTCTCTGTTCTGCCGTATGGCTGTGAAACATGCACATAAAAGGTAGAAGAACTGAGAATGCTTCAAGTGTTCGATCACCGCTGCCTTCACAGCATAACTCTGTGTCGTGCTCTCACCAGGTCAGTAACGTAATAGTCAGGTGTTGAGTTTTATGGAGGAGAGTAAAGTCAGTGTATGGTATTGTGAACCTTCATCGACTCAGCTGTCTTTGACATGTGTTACGGACGCCTAATCACTGTCTGCCTAGTCGCATAATGTTGGCTAAAGTAGATTGAGTCTGGACATGGGCTAGAGGTGGCTAGACTAAAACATGACATCATTGCATGAAGTCTTTGACTGTTAGTCTGAGCTGTGTGAAGGGATGTAAACTTGCCGGTTGGGGTCGACGTGACAACAGTAATCAGTGTTTGGAGACTGTGGGTGATACGGCTCCGAATCGATGTCAATGCAGCAGATGTATGCGCACGTTGTCCTCATCTTGATTGTCATACCGAATTCAATATATTTTTATTCCTCCTTGTTATGTTATCGTGACTTTCTCCTACTTTCAACTGTTTTGTTCGATATTTCTTTATATTTCATCTTAGTGCATTTTTGCTTGATGTGGCTATATAAAGTGTGACAACTTGCATCGTCATGGAAAAATGCCTGTTCCCATTTGATGTTGATGAGGAGTGATCAAGAAAGCCAAGGTAAAGAAGTCAATGTGTAGTGAGATCATCATGTGTATTATTATTACCATTCATAGAACAAACTTGGTACAGGATGAGCACCAAGAGATATACCATTGAGTAAACAACAAAAGGAAATGGAAGGGAAGATTGGAAGGAAACGGAAACGTATTATTAAAGAATCAGTCTCAAAGATACATGAAAGGTGCATTCACAGCTTTCTTTTTAGCAAAAGTAAAAATAAGAAAATCGCAGTGTGACTGCTATTGGTCGTGCATATCATATTGGATTTGTTTATTTGACATATAACATATAGTCATACAGTATTATATACTTGATGACATTTCGAACATCAGTTATTGCTCATAATCATATCAATGTAATCACACCACTTTCGAAAACCGAATTGTATAGTCCTGTGGTCAATAAACCATGCTTGAAACGTTAACAAGCAAATAATACTGTATCACGGTGTTGAAAATTCTTATATGGAATTACCTTGTACCACAATGTCCAAATTTTACGCTTATAGGTCTTTTGTTATCTTCAGCAACTGATTTCTATGATCTGGTTCCTATTCATAGGGTCTTGAGGTACCTACAGACGTCAACCAACACGACTATGCATCATCCCACGGTCTCACATGCCAGCCACATCTCTTTCCCCTAACAAGACACAGAAATAGAGGGGAGTGGGAGTCTCTGGAATGACATGAAGAATACATCCGAGCAGCGGAAGCCGGTTTCAAGATGACTACATTCAATGAGTGACGATCTCCATCAAACACAAATATACTGAACCTCACCTCCGAACTACTTACATGGTGTTTACACTGAATGCGAGCAATCCTGCAGAGATAACATTCATCGAAAACTCTGAGTTGTCGGATGTCCTCAGTTCGGAAAGGCCAGTTTTTGCTGGTGTAGAGCAGAGCTGCTAACGGTGAGGGTTGTATATCCAGACCGCAGACCTTTTATGTAACATTCACCGTATATGATGGAACCCCATTTAACCAATGTTCAAGTTAGGCGTCGAAAAGGGCAAATCAGCGGATGTTGTGGGGCTGCAACATCGGAGAAAGCTTGAACGTGACTTGCTACGTTGCGACGAGGATCGTACTGCGGACTGAGCTGGAGAGCGACAGCAGTAACGGGCGTTTCTTGTAGATGACCAACAGTACCATGCCGACGCTGCTTTCCCTATGGGAAGCAGACATGTTAGAAAAGATCAACCTCAAAAATGGCATAGATTTCTGAGCTGTGGTTTTCTGTACCTAGTGGGGCTGCTTTCTTAGCCAGATACAAATCAATAAACGTTCCAAAAAGGCTCTGCAGTCACACATTATTAATCCCATTTCTTTCCCAGGTACTTGCAGAAGAAGTAACTTCTTATGGGGCAGAGACCGAGAAGTGTCAATCACACCCACAAAGTTGACAGCAGTCATCTTTCCGTAAATCATTATGAATTTTCAACATATTCACCTCCTATCTTTTTTCACTTCTCAGGACTAATATTCCTACATTATCTTCAATTCCTTACAGCTATAGAGCCCTGGAAATGATTTGAATTTACATAACAGAATCTCTAGTCTCTTGAAACCGCGCTCCAAACTACACATTGTTGCTTTCAATGCCCACATCCTCTGTCAAATTGACCAACAAGCTTTACTAGCTAAAACTAGCATCTTGGATCATGGATGTGTGCTGTTTGTAAAACACACAGGATACGAGTGAGGTTATTCACTTAACCTCATTCGACAAATATGGTGAATCCGCAAAATTCGTTCTTCGAATTTATAGAGCTTCCATGACTAGTTTTCGCAGTCTTGCAGCTGTAGGCATAGGATAGGTCCTGGGCAGAAAGCCCACTGCTCAACTGGGTCCCAGTTGGTCATCATCATCATCAAGGTCAACACAGGACTAAACTCCTGTGTAACGGTCCAAGTTGCCACACCTCATATCAGCACATCAAGGGAATAAAATGGAAGATGAAGAAGGGGGAAGAAATCGGTCAAAAGGAATAGAAAGTGGTAAAAGAGAAGAGGGAGGAATGAGAAAAAATGATGTGATTAAGTATGGTGGTTAATATGAAAATAATGTATGTATACAAATACACCAGTGACATCTGTTTTGAGCCACATCACCTAGAGTCTCTAACCCATGGTTTCTCTTGTACCGAAGACCCCAACCAGTTAGTCTGCGCCACCCTACATGGCTCAAACGGACAGTTAAGAACTTCATGCATTGATGCCATGTTTCGATTTTAGTCGTCACCTGTGCGCTGTTCGAATGAAGGGCACAGTGAAGACAAAAAGGAATAATGAAACTCGCTTATGTCTCTTTGTAGTCTTCGCTTACGCTTCGCAACCTGTAGTTCGAATGAAGTGAAGAATGGTTTCTACCGGGAACTGCCTAACCTTCTACTGAAAGCCAAGCGTTCAGTTGTTGTACTTGTTGCAGGTGATTTCGATGCACAAGTGGGTCGGATAAGTCAGACAGAAAAGCACTTAGGTGGCACTTTCGGAATCACGTCCTAAGGAAGAGATAACGGCGATTGCCTGCCACAACTGTGCTCAACCAACCATTTATTTCTAGCCAGCACTTCCTCCTATTTTCAACTGTTTTGTTCGATATTTCTTTATATTTCATCTTAGTGCATTCTCGCTTGATGTGGTGATATTGAGATGTGGGAATTTGAATCGTTAAGTAGTACTGCCACGTTCTACGTGGTACTTATGTATCTTCGGTTTTACCTCATAATTTTTTGAGTGTGATATATGAAACGCCATAACAATTGCTGTCGGTGTTACCGCTCTGAGACTAATATTTTTGGTACGATTGTGTCAAAGAACAAACTTCCGAACCAATAAAGATCGGACGCATCATAAAGGTAAGGTAACTATCCAGACGGTTAGCAGAGGAGGTCGCGGTTTCTCGTGATTATTTTGTTGGACTGTACCCATAATCCTCAGAAGTCAGTCGACTTTTCCGTATTCCATAAGTAATTTTTGCCTCAACTCTGACGAGAAAGGAAATCAATTCTACATTCAAATTTAAGTTTTATTTTTTATGTAATGTCTACCCACGAAATATGATGGTAACTTTATCTTGTTTTTAAATGTTTTCAATTAAGCTAATCTAACATTTTGTGATATTACTCAAGGTATGACACGATATTTAACGTTTTCGGAACGCAAAAAAGTGTTGAAACTTTACGAAAAAGGAGAAAGTATGACGGACATCGTAAATCTTTCCGGACGGGGTGCAGCAACTGTTCAGAGAATTATTGCTGGTACTTGGAGGCCGAAATTAATTCAAAATTCCAAAATTAATGTTAAAGAAAGGACATACTGCTTAAGGTCAAAGCCAAACGACTGAAAAATTTGAAGAAAATGAAATCGACCGCATCGAATTCAGTATTTGATAACAGCATGAGTCGTCGAAGTTCAGTGTCAAATAGTAATTCAGCTTTCTTTGTTTAACAATTTATTTAATTCTATCTTTCGTACTTGAATTACTTTTCCCGTGCATACGTAAAAACAGATCCTCTGGTTCAACACTGAAACATATCATTTGATCTGTTTCATAGTAAGTTACTTATGATTTCTTCCACTGATTGTATTTCCAATCTACCCCCAATCTGGATGACAAATGATTGTCGAGGATTTCAGTGTATAAACACTAGAATTACTCGTAACGCACTGAAAAGAATGGTCGCTCACAAGAAATTAGTAAACTTTTATCGTTCTTTATTTTCGTCCCCAACCTTGTCAGTCTATCATGCAAGCTACTACTTATGCCTATATAATAATTTTTCTAAGCTGTGTGGTCTATGGATGAATGTTGGAACAAGCAATAAACTATTTTTACATGCTGGCTAATGTTGATGATGCTCAACAACAGTTATCTATTATCCTACCGCCGTTTATCCAATGCAACAAACTGACTACAGTTTGCAAAGTTCTTCATTCTCTAATTTGTGTTTTACAATTTATGATTACTGGATAACGTGAAACACTTTGATTGTTTCTGAGTTTCTTAATGATTATTTCATAAAAAGATGATGTAGGTGAAACTTAATGGCAAGTGCATGTAGGTGTTCTGTGATACCTGTAAACCTCATCCTTTTTGTACATTGGCTCCCCCATTTTGATTCAAAGTTAGCCTCAAAATTTTGCACAACTAGAATTTATGGATAGTGAAAGCAAATCATTCGTAAGTGAATTTTGCATAACTGTTGGAAGTTATTGTTCCAGGATTTTTCTTAGTTCACCAACCGATATAATCGGAAGTATAATACATTTGTTTAAGTTGGAACATAACATCATTGATTTCATGGCGTTTCAGAATAACTAAAGGATCCACATGTAATGTATAAAACAGATGGTAGATAGAAAGAAGCTAAACAATTTGGTTGCTTTGCTTAATAACGTTATTCATCATGAAGTAACCTTGAAAAAGTCGAGTAATGTTAGTGGTTCTGGATAGCTTCATTCAAACTATCTGATGCGTAGGAAAACACCCTGGGTTTTGTGCATGATGGATAGCTGAGATGGCTAAAAGGTAAGCCGATAAATAGTTAGAACGATTATCGTAAAGAAAGATAAACCAGAAATTCACTGAGATGTGCGGAGCATGGTGAGTGTTAAATCTAAAACGACCGTAGGCTAGACTTTAGCCAAGTGACGCGGAATATCCCAAAAAAATACAGAAAAATATTGAGTTTGATTCTAGGTAGGACTGTAAATAAGATTGCATTTATAATAGTTATCTTCAACTGTGGCTCAGATGTAAATACTTTCTTCCCATCTGTTAATTTCACTTCGGTATCCATATAAAGTGGGGGCAACATTGAATGTTTACTAACTGTGTATTGTTAGACAATTTCATTTTCTTCTCATGTTTATTTCTCTTACTAGTTATTAGTTGTACTCTTTGAATTTTTTCTTTCTTTTATAACCAAAGACCTCAGTTCATCAGAAAGTTCAACAAATAGTCGAAATACTCGTTTTGAAAAGTGTCAAAACTCTCCCACTTCGCCACTGAGCTCTCAACAGTCTGAAAGCAATACATTCTGTGGCTCTTTTGCATCAGTTCATGATTTTATTGACTTCTTATGTTCTGAAGGTAACTAAACTTTTTAAAAGTGGCTGTGATGAATTTTTTTTGAAATTCGTTCTGCTGCACTACTAATGGTGACAACTGCTTCTTTCTGTTTTCGGCTTTAGAGGTAATTGCTATGTGCTATGGTTGGTAACAAGACGAAGTGGACACAATTCTCAACCTCTTCCCTTTCATTCTGATTTATATAATTGGCAGGAAATATCACTTCTATGTTACAAACCCAAAAGATGCACCCAAAAAAATATAATTCAGTTGTGTTCGCATATATATATATATATATGTTTTTGTTTTGTTTATAAGCTACACGTGAGTAGTTTGGATTGATCCCCTTCGTTATGTTTATTCTTCTATTCAAAAATATTCCGTGAATCACATACACCATCATAACAAGTTACTGTTAAATAGCTACTGATATTTTGCAACGATTATTTTGGGTAATTTGAGTACGATCTCTCAATATGTTGGATATAATTTAAGAAGTGAGAACGATTTTGACATGTAGCAGTTATAGCATTCCACTTTTTTCGTCGTTCGTTTCCGCTGAGTAGTAACAGGCTGAAAGCCAAACTTACTATATTTAAAATAAATTCATTGTATACAAAGGAAGTTAATGAAAGCCAAGTACATTTTGGTAATTCATCTTTATGACAATGTTGTCATACTAACTAGGTTGAGGGATGATTACTAGCATTTCATTCAGTCCTTTGCTGAAACTTAAATAAGCATATATTGTTATACTGTGCAAATCAATGCGTCCGCCTTCTTTGACTTTATACATGTGACCCATTCTTTCCTGTTGTTGCCTCACTAATCACTGGTTTCAAAAATTCCTCTGTCCTACATACCTGTAGCTAATAGACATCACTATTCTTCAAGATGATTTCAACTGTCTTGGTTTCATACGCTTTCCTTCTACAGTCGATGTGCGTATTTTCGGATCGCATCTGAATATGCTTCTCTGCTGAATGCCATAAGATATAGTAGAAAGTCGATAGCAGGTTTCCAGCAAGACTTGTACTATGAATCAGTTGACGCTCAAATGACTCAAAATGAGAAAAAGAGATGTGTTTATTCGACATCAAAAAGATTTATTATATAGTCAATAATGAACGTAGGACCTCGCACACAAGCCTATTCATTCAATTCGCCATACTTCACAATAGTATGCAAAGAACAAGTGGATCGAAAAAGACTGATATCAAAGGTATATGCAATGAGGAGGAATTTGAAAATCAAGATCAGTGAAGATGTTCAAATTTTAGAAGACATCAAGGAGTGAATACATCATCATTCCAACCGATTTTGAGATATGTCACCAAGTTCTCAGTTACTTACTCCTATGGTCTTGAGCAACCTAACCAGGTAATCTGTGCTTTCCTACACTGCTCAGACTAATGGTCAGAGACTTCATGGATTGGTGCCACATCTTGGTCTAACCACCCTGAGCCTTATTCCAACTTCTGCTAGCTTCGCACGTCAAGGCAGATGGTGGCTCAGTATATGTAACATATATCCAAACTATCTCAGTCGCTGTGTTGTAGCCACAAGCTTATCGACCACCTGACTTTGACATTGCTCACATGGTGAATCCATCGTACGCGAGCATTGCTACAAAGGCATCTGTGGTCAACAACCTGTAGTCTCTCCATATTTTCTACTTCTAACGACGTTTCACAGCCGTATAACAAGACAGAACGGACTGCAGTGTTATGTACTCGCTTTTTAATAGGTACTCGTATATTTTATCCCCGCCACAGATGACGCGTTTTGGCAAATGCCGAAAGGGCCTTCTGCATCCTAGCTGAGATTTGATCTGAAAGCAACCCGTTTCGGCTAATCCAACTTCCCAAGTGAGTGAATTGGTCGATTTGTTCCACCATTTCATTCCTTAAGCTTAAGCATACCAGTCTTGCAGCATCACCTTGCATTTGACAGGTGCACAACACATGCCAAGCGTACTCAGATTTCTGCTCATCGCGTTCAGAAGGCCCTGCATTTTGTCAGCGTCCACACCTAACAGGATAATATCTTCTGCGTACTCCAAATCAACTGATAACCTCCAGGGAGTAGATCACTTCCTGTGAATTGAAAGGTACCCAAGGTTGTGTCCAATAATACATCGATAACGAACTTAATGAGGAGTGGTTACAGCAGGCATCCGTAGTATTGTTAGTTTACGTAGCGAGGATTTTATATTTTCAAGAAACGTAGATCTTTGTTGTACACTGAAGCATCATTTCACAAATTACAAGCTCGTCTTAATAACATCTAAATAACTTGGAATTATAATCCAGGAAGCCTTGACAAATAATCCTCGTATGACTGGTTTATAGGGTAAGTCTTATGATGCGTAGCGAAGGACTTACAGTGTGCAACATTTCTTTTAGAACCATATACTCTTCGTAGTGAAAATCGTCGTCCCCGTTATAGACTTTTGACGTTGCTGACTTTCATCCTCCTTGTGCAGCTTAATGATCGTGTGTAACGATGATGATCTTTAGGTCATTGAATGGCTCTCTAGAATTTTTAAAAACAATGCTTGCGCGCAGTGCTTATCTCTCTAGACTATGGTATACTGTTCCAAATTCTTTAAAACTGAATCTTAAAAGACGTCTTTCAAAATCTACATTCTTTGAGGAAACTGATAATGGTTTTGTTGACCGGAATGGCACAATTTTGTATTGTTGATGGATTTTATTTTTTGTAGTAAACGCGGATGACCTGTATATAGTAATTGAATTTTTAAAAAATATAATGCGGTGGTCATATTTTGTATACTTAAGGTTTAGAAACAGTACAAATTTCAGTTTTCCACAGAGAAAGGACAACGATATGTGTTAGTCCTAAGAATAAATAATACTATGAAGATTCATTTGTAAGTTGACATCACAGAAATCTTACTACTGTGAACATTTGCAACTCATTACGAGGAACAAACCTCCTGACTTAAGTTGCCCAATGTGATCTTAAGGCTTCAAATGACTTCCTCTCAGTTGATCATTTCTAGAGAGGAAAAAAATTGGAATATTAGTTCTTGAATCGTCGTTCAGAACAGTACGAGTATACATTAAGCATGCCGTCTGGGTCTTAGTTATTTTTGGTTTGAAACCTAAAACTATAGAGATATATCTTAGTAAAAGTACGCATTAACCACTTCTGGAGAAAATGTAAAAGACTAATTTCACTAGAATTTGTCGGAACTACTAGTGGCGAAGTGGATTAGTGTATTGTTCGCAGTACATCCGTTATTCCAACTTAAGAGCTTGATGCTCAGCTAATCTAATTTTTTCTTGATAACCAGATTTTGATCATTCAGAGGATTAGAGACATCGATGTAAGTTCATTGGTCACCAAAAATTGAAATCAATTTTACATACAAACCTTCCATGAGATCAGAATACTTGTAAATCTCACAAAGACGTTTTCATTTTAAGTATGATTCTATAAATGTGAAATTGTTATGATCTGGGGTATATATGACGATATAATGCTTCTATACGATACGTTTAACGATAGAACAACGACTTCTCAACACGACATTCAGCCGACACCAGAAGAAGAAGACAATGGGATTGGAAGTATATTTATTGCAACCGAGTGGTCCTATAGCTGAAAATCCAGTCGTTTATATAAATGCCCTTAGTCAGGGAAAACAAAGTAGCATATTAAAAGTGTAAAACTGCCCAGTCAGCGTTCATTGTCCTAAACTCCAGTAAAAATAAGTAACATTGCATGGAGCAAAAAAAGCGCGAAAATAAGGCTTGAATTTTACAATGATAATCTATTCATATTATAAGTTAGTTTTCTTCAGGGATTAGGCATTACTAACAGAAACAAAAGGTACATTTTAAGTCTTCCAGTAATATGTATGATAATAAAGCAGAATGACCTTCGCTTATTCGGTTAGAATATTGAAGTTTTATTCCTACTATCACTAAAGTCATTCCTCGATTTTATCAAAAGAGTAATTCAGTAACTCACACCATCACAGCCTAACCATTCCAGTTGAAATTTATCCTCAATTTGTTCTCGATAAATTATAAATTGGGTTGTTTCGGAAATGTGAAAACCCATAGAACTTCTTCCGAATCAAAAGTAGTTTTGACATAGCCTCAGAATGTTTATAATTAAATAGCTTGAATCAGAGATGAAACTGAAATGAGTCCATCTGTAGTGCTGAACTTTTTAAACTCCTTCAAATGCAAAAAATAGGGACTTCACATCTACATCCATTCTCTACTGTAGTTGGGTGCTACCGTATTATTTTTCAGGTATTCTGTCTGGATAGCTTCGATGTGTAGCACCACTAGTTAACACTTCAACTGGCTATAAAAGTTGGTCACTTTACAGCATGCCGTCATAGAAAGAAGACAATTCGTATTTTGTTGGCGTCTATCGGTGCACAATGGTTTCAAGAGATCACGTTATCATTACTTAAAATTGAATTCAGTAGTGATCCCATTGTAGTAACCCACATCAAAAGCGAAATGAATTTTACTCTTACTACCCATACGTCAGCCAAAATAGTCAACACCTCGTAGCATTCTTTCTGATTATAAAGAGAAATATGCAATCGCTTTAACATTGGTTTGTATTCTGATTTCTTCTAAAGTGGGACTGTGGGTCACTGTTTTAGCCAATTGACTTACATTAGTAAGTCATGGGTTCGAACTCTGCCCCATCAACCGAGATGTGGACGTGCAGGTAGTATCACTGACCGTCACACAACAAGTGTGGTTCATTGTCTAGTGTACGTGGTTGCTGAGTGCATTTCGGTTCCTTTTAAATGTAGCTTATAGACAATTTAACTTAGACACTGTGATTAAATAACTTACTGATAACATACTTCTCAACTTTAAATACTTCAAAAACTGGAAGTGAACTGCTTTCCTATAGATAAACAGATCTCAACATTGGCTCTCCTTAGTCCACCCTCCTATCCTGATGGGGAAACATACATTTTAGTTTGTAATTAGTTCATTAACAGCAACAAAAGTAGTCGAAATTTCGGAAATCACTATGATTTAGTTTAACGCTTTTGACAGTTTTACTAATGTGTCAACGACAGTCACCAGTTGCAGGAACTCTGATCTCCAGGATGCCACTTTGGAATGAGGGGATGCTCAGCGATAG